GAGGAAAGGGCTATTCAGATAGAGAAGGGAGCACCAAATAAAGGATGTTTGGAGGATCCTCCCAGGAGGGGAGATGCATGTCGAAAGTAGACTATGGACTGAACATGTTTGCCACTCAATGCCTCTTTTGCAGACCACAACACCCAAAAGGAGAGAGAGAACACAGGGGATTGCCCTGCCACAGAGACGGGGGGATGGGGGGCTGGGGGTGGGAGGGATATTATCCATGGTGGTGGAAAATGGGCACTGGTGGAGGGATGGGTATCTGATCATTGTATAATTGAAACCAAAGCACAAAAAATTGTAAATCTACAACTTTAAAAAAAAATAAAATAAAATAAAGGGGGAAAAAAAAAAAAAGAACAAGAACAACCAGTGCTGGTGTGGATGTGGGGAGAAAGGGACTCTCTTTCATTTTTGGTGGGAATGCCAACTGGTCCAGCCTTTCTGGAAAACAATATAGGCATTCCTTAAAAAACTGGAAATTGAGCTTCATATGACCCAGCAATACCACTTCTGGGAATACATCCCGGGGGGGGCGGGGGGGAAGGCACAGTTTATACAGTGCTGCAATATGCAGCACTGTTCATAATAGCCAGAATCTAGAAACAACCCAAATACCCGAGAAAAGACAACTGGCTAAAGAAATTTTGGTACATCTACACAATGGAATACTATACAGCTGTTAGGAAAGATGAAGTTATGAAATTTGCTTAAAAGTGGATGGACATGGAGAGTATTTTGCTAAACGAAATGAATCAGAAATAGAGAAACAGACATAGGATGACTGTACTCATTTGTGGAATATAAAATAACAGAATATGAGACTAACACTGAAGAACAGTAAAGACAAGCACCAGGAAGATTGTCCCATGATTGGAAGTCTGCCTTTATGAGCTGGGGAAGAAGGCAGCTGGGATAAAGAAGGGATCACTAAGCCAATGATGGCTGGAGGTATCGCTCAGGATGGGAGATATGTGCTGAAAGTAGATAAAGGAGCAAACATGATGGCCTCTCAGTATCTGTATTGCAAACCATAATGCCTCAAAGTAGAGAGAGAATAAGAAGGAAATTGTCTGCCATAGAGGCAGGGGGTGGGGTGGGGTGGGGGTAGCAGGAGGGATACTAGGGACATTGGTGGTGGAAAATGTACACTGGTGGAGGGATGGGTGTTCCATCATTGTATGACTGAAACTCAATTATGAAAGCTTTGTAACTGTATCTCATGGTGATTCAATAAAAAATCATAATAATTCATTTTAAGCAGACACAATTTAAATATATTAAAAGCCTGATTTCCTCTGAGAACTGTTTCTTACATGCAACTTTAATCTTATATTTTTATGTGGCTAGATAGAACTAGGTGACATGGAAAAATTTATCTGCCTTTTAACATTGATGACATGTTTTAGGTAAATAATTGTCTTTCTTTATTTTTATTTAAATTAATTTTTTTTACTTAATGCATAAGGATATTTCAACAAATCCTCTAGCTCCTGTGTCCCCAGAGACTGTGACTTTGAATAGTTGTTTCAATACTAATTAAGTAGGTAGACCTATGTTTAGGTGTTTATAGCTATTTTTCAAGATTGTATTTTTTTCTAACTTTTAAATTTATTTGTTAGTTTTTTCTGTCATGCTGAGTAATGCTCCAGGACTATTCCTGGTACATTTCTCAGGACCATCCACATGGTACCAGGAACTAACTCAGGCCTGCCTGCGTGCAAAGCATGCTGCTAGCCCTTTGGGCTAAATCGCTGATTCCAAAATTTGTGCTGCTGAGCTTTTTCTATTTGTTTAGTTTCGAGTTCAGTGTTGTGGTTACTCCCAGCTTGTTGCTGGTGGGATTTCTCCTGGCAGTGCTCAGGGAACTTCAGTGCCAGGGATCAAACTGGGCCTCTGGCATGTGAAGCGTGTAGTGAAGCCCTTAAAAGTATTTCTGCAGCTTCCTAATTTTCAAATTTAAATAATATTTCCACAAGGACACAAATGGGTTTCAATCATTATTATATCACTTCCTTTTTTAAACATGAATAGATAGTTCAGGATCACCAGACAGCTGGAAAAGCCTATGCTATAATAGACAGTCGCGAAAATAAATCAAAAGGACTTTACAGTAGGTAACTAAGTGCAGCAGCCAGGGTATTTTGTGCTATTTTTATAACAGAGTAAATCTAAATTTTCTACCCTAGAGGAGAGAGAGCTGCTGGCTGTCTAGTCTAGATTCGAGAGAGTTTCTGGAAAGCTCATAGCTTCTTATATATTTTTTAAAGCCATTCTCCATTTTTAGACGTGGCTTTTCTCCAAGTTTCAGTTATTCTTTAGCTTCCATTTTCTAAACTCTCTCAGGATAACCATGGATGAATCCACTTGTTTCTTGCTGGATCTTCCCTTGGCCGGCTCCTAGATTTCCTGTTTCAAAGTCAGCCACTCCTCAAATAGCTCATTTCAATCTTCTAATCTTCATGTACGTTATTGCTCCTATAAAGATAAAGATTATCTTTATGGGTAGACACTGTCTTGTTCTATTACTACAATTTTAATGAGGACCTAAAGAAGAAAAATGCTGAGTTCTCCAGAGTTAGCCTAAGGAAAAACCTAGAAGAAGGTTTAGGAAAGGACAAGGAGGAATGTTATTTCTTAAAAAATAAATAAATAAATAAATAAAAGTAATGCCCAGGATAAGAGACTTCAATCATAATCAAAGAAACAAAACTAAGAGACATTTAAGATAGAGGGAAAGGCAGGGAAATGGATGCTTTAGTGTCTCACTGTTTCACGGTCCCCATGTGGAAGGGTCTGCTAGTTTGAATATTTGTCAAGCTAATTACATTTTGGCACAAAATTTAAATGAAATTGTGTACTGTGTCGGGAGATAGCTTAAGCAGGAGAGCACATGCCTCACATGTCCTGTGTACCCCAGATATCGGACTGATCTCCCCCGAATACTGATAGCCCGACATTGATGCCCTCTGGGCACTGGACCACCAGGCCCACTCACCCAGAATTCACTGGGAAAAAGAAGAGAGGCTACAAAGTCTTCATTCATTTAACATTGACTTTTAAATTTGTCTATAATGTAAGGCTACAATTTTATAATTCTTGAGAATTAAAATTTCCATGCTGTACCTACCACCAATTACCAATGTCTTCTTATCACTTACAATTGGTGGGACAAGTTCAAAGAAACAAATTTTCTTCAGATTTTCATGAAATCCTGTTTCTATGGACATCTTTGTCTACAACCAGGTTTTTAGAAATCATGGATTCAATCTGACCACACAGAGCCAGGGCTGTCCAGGGTTATACCTAAAGAAAACTGATTCCATAACCTAAGATTTTTATACCAATCTAGTTCTCCCTTCATGGTTTCCTCAATTCTTCAAGCATAAGCCTGTATTGTATGAGAGTACTTTCATAAATTCTTAATTCTTTAGATGCAGTTATTCTAGAGTATGGTTAATACTTTTAAAATCATTTTTAGTGTCTTGGGTCAAATCTGGACTGATATTCTGGGAATAACAAATGAATAAAGTTCACATCAATGCCAAGACTTCTAATTCTGATTTTCTCATATTTCAAGTTAGCAGAAGTAAAAATAGAAGTTACTTATTCTGTGGAACCAGTGCTCACTGCTAGTGAGTCAGCAGAAAAGTGTGTTTTTCCTTTTGCTTCTATTTCTATCAGTTATATCTGAGCAGTCTATAAGACAAGCCAAATCCAGATCTGAAACTATTTTGTTAGTGGCACTCAGAATACATACTATTTCAAAGCCTTTCATCTAATCTTTCACCGATATTCTATTGCTAAAAGCTCATTATCCAAAACCTATCAAGAAAATTGACCATAAAATCAGAAGCAGTCTCCCAAAGGTTATCAGGAAGAGAACAAAACAGGTATTTGTCTTAAGAAATACAAAAATTTAACCTCCCAGAATTTAGAAGCTAGTTACCACACTTCTATTTCCATACTTTTTATAAAATTTGTAACTAAATATTGAAATGTTGGTGTTTTGCAGAAGTCTATGAAATTCATAAGAGAGAGATTTTAAATTAGACTAAGGAAAGGGGATTTTTATAGATTTTGGAAAAGATTCTTTTCTTACAGTCAGCCTACACAGATCAGGGAATTTTGAAGAACAAGTACACCCCCAGCCTCTACTCAGTATACAACATATATTAAGTATCTAGATAGACAGGCCCAAGATATATCCAGTTTATTCTTGGTGGTGATTTTACTTCTTCCGCCAATTAGACACACTCTCAGGTGAATTTTTTTCTTAACTTCATTCAATGAATATGTATTAAATTCCTTTAGAACCACTGGTATTTTACATTCCCTTTCTGTGACTTCATTAGGACCACAATATACTGTAGAAATGTTTGAGTTACCCAACTTTTCATGAAAAAGGGAAGGATAAAGCCCTCTTTTGCCAAAAAAAAAAAAAAAAAACAAAGAAAGGTTTAGCTGGAAGTAACTACATTTTTGCATATTTTTCTCATACTAATTGTTTTCTATTTTCATAGATTAAAGTATGTATTATACCCATGGAATAAAAACTCTAATCATTGTCTTATTTCTTTTGATATGCTGGAATATCCTGTAATTTATATTTTATGCTTGCAAGATGGCAAAAGTTTTGAACTCTGAACTCCTCTAAACTGTGGTATACGTTCTTCATCAATGCTTTGGGTTATCTTTTGGGCCACAGCCACTGGTGATCAGGGCTTACCCCCAGCTCTGCACTCACGAATCACTCCTGGTAAGCTCAGGGGACCAAATGGAGTGTCAGGAATTGAATTCGGTCAGCCATGTGCAAGGTACACACCCTACCACTGTGCTATCACTCTGCGGCCCCCCCACCCCTCGCTTCATGGCTTTTGAAATCTGCATCACTAACATAGTACGTAAAGTTGAATGTGCCAAAATCTTGAATGTCTCTGTGTCTTTCTTTTGAAAAGCTTAGCTGATTGTTAAATTTGTTAGATGCCCAGTATTACCTCACAGCCATCTGCCAAGGCAAATCCTCCACCAACAAGAATTGCTATGTCCCAGGGCATGAATGACTGGAATTCTTTCCAAGTAATCAATGGAGAATAATCAAAAACAACTAGAAAATAAAAGTCTTACAGTTACATATTACTTAAAATATAACAATTTGACGCTTTTTTCATTATTCCAAGTAGCTATATAGTTCTATATTTTTTATATAGGGGACTTGATCTGAACTTTGAGTAGTTTCCATCTTATTCAAATGAACATTCTATTATAAAGGAAAATTGTTATAATTTTGGGACTTCTTTATATTGTATTAATATTTAATTTTAGGTGAATTTTATAATTATCATATATATGCTATTATTCATTTATTAATTTCATTGAAATATTTATTTATGTTTACCAGCATATTGAACTATGTATTTTTACTATAAAAAGTCTTAATAATCTATGAGCTCTAGCACATTAGTGTGGATTTGTAATTATTATTAATTAATATCATCCCTTTTTATAATAAAGGCAAATGATAGCTTCAACTAAACTTCTTATCAAAATAATTTAAAGTTTGGATTTTAAAATTTAAATACAACTCATAAGACCCATATAATGTTTATGTATAATAAATACATATATTTATAATATATATTGATAACTTTGGGCTGGAGTGATAACACAGCAGGTAGAGCGTTTGCTTTACACACGGCCAACCTGGCTGACCCACGTTTGATTCCTCTGCCCCTCTCAGAGAGCCCAGCAAGCTACCGAGAGTATCTCGCCCACAGGGTAAAGCCTGGCAAGCTACCCATGACGTATTATATACGCCAAGCACAGTAACATCAAGTCTCACAATGGAGACGTTACTGGGCCTGCTAGAGCAAATCGATGAACAATGGGTGGACAGTGCTACAATGGACAATGCTATTGATAGCTATAAATTTATTCTAATATTTAGTGTCTGAGTTATCAAGGTTAAAATACCCTAGAAATTTATCAATAAATCTCTAAAAATTTATTATTACTAGCTGTAGGGCTGATTATAAATTTATGAAGGCCACATGGTGCTGGAGATCCACCCAGGAATTCCTCCAAGCTCAAATCAAGCCTGCTCTCACTGTTGACTAAATCTGACAATTTCTTTTATGAATTAAGTTTGCATATACTGGTAAAATGCTAATATATCTGAAATGTGACACATACAACATTTTCATAAGTCTACCAGGGAGAAATAGAGTTGAACAATAAGAAGAGAGAATGATGGATAAGGCTATGACTTTTCATGAGTGAGGATTCAGATGTGTGAGTTATATCAAGCACTGATTCTGCAACACTTGCCTCTGGCAGATCTGAGGATTAATTGATTAGTCAGAGGTCTTAGAATTCTGTAGGAATCATTGCTCTGTATTGCAAAATCTCCCAGTAGCAATCAAACTTTGAGATATTTTCATCTCAGGTGAACTGCAAAAGGCATTTATTTCTATGCTATGCTTCTTGCATATATCTAGTTTTAAAAATCCAATTTATTAACCGTTTATGGGGTCTGGCACAAGGAATCAGGTGGTGCAAGTCAACTTCAGGAATCCCAGTATTAGTCCAGTAAAAAAATTTAAAAGAGAGAGAAAAGAGAATCACCACAGCTACTGCTACTACCTCCCATTATAATAAATAAAACTTGCGTGTATTATACTATTCCAAGAAAATTTAAAGTCATTTGTTTCATATTGATAGCAGAGAAATCTGACTAACTCAAACATGCTTTGTTAGTATAAATCATATGTGTGTGTTGAGGGGAAGGTAGTATGCTTACATAAACATGTACAATTTTCATTTGTGTGATAAATATAGTGAAAACACCTATGGAATACCCTATCTTTCTATTGTAACACTATGTTTTTGCCAGGATAGGGCCAATTCACATTTTCTCCAAAAGTGCTAAGGTTGTAAATTCTCTCAAAACTCTTTACTTTTAAAAATTATTAGCATTTATTACCATGGACTGACTCATTATGAAGCAATCACTTCCAAGTTCTTGTTCTTTTGTCAATAGTAATAACAAGTATACATATGGTAGAGGAAGTGGTGTTATTACCAACCAAATAATATCATTTGTAACAGAATCCTAACCATGGTTAATACAGAGGCCTGTTTATTACTTCTGCCAAGTAAAATGATCTTTCTTCTCAATAGAGACTGAGTAAGGATTGCAAGTGCACAAACCAGGGATTTTGCGAGCTTGTCACTTTTCTTCTAAACACTAACTGAAACCAACAGAATTTTGATTTTTGCTTTTCTATCAGGTTTATTCAGAATTATAAATAATACTCAACCAATTTCTCCTGCGGATGTAGTTTTAGTCAATCTTTTAGCTGGTATAAGAAAGAACAGAAGTCCTATAAGTAAAGCAACAGTTGAATCTGTAGCAAAACCAGGATACCTGAAAAAGGACAAAAAAAGTACATTAAAAATGTCATGAGAATTTGTATTACATAGTTACTGTTGTTTCCATGTATTTTCTTCTTCTCTCTCTCTCACTCTTTCAGAACCATGCATATGCTACTGACTTACTAGGCTAACATAGTTGACTCCCTTTTGATAAAACTTATGGATCAAATAAACAACTTTTTCTTTGTTATTTCTTTTAATTATGTTGGCAGAGAATTGAATAGACGTAATGATTGGACTGGAAAAAACTGTATAATTAATACATAACCTTCTACTGAATTGTGGCAAGGCATGGCTATTTCTAGTCTGCTAAAACTCTTTTGTCAATTGTGTAAAGGAATTGGTCTTGTTTTTCTAAGCTATAACATCTGCTGCTATGATTATAAACCCTAGCCACATTATTCAAATGAAATCAACCCGTTTAATACTTTGCATCCTATTAAACTCAACCAAGAATATTTAATAATTAGAATGACTTGTGAGATGCTCAGAAACGATCACTTTACAAATTAAGAATGATTCAGGAACAGATGGGGCCTGAGAATCACCAAGTCATTTCAGCAAATAAGACAGGTTCTCAAAAGTCTCAACAGTTAAGAAGCACCTGGAGATCAGAGATGAATAAAATGGGCATAAATAATTAGAAGTCAGTTTTTAAAGTCAGCAATATTTACCTAGTGAATTTTTGTAGTTTGACAAATATGTACACCCTAAACATTGCTTTGCTGCACTGTAGCTTAGTAATAAAAACATATTTCTCTCTGCCCTTTCTATTTATTTGAACAATCTAGTAAAAAATAAAAATCAGTTTGACAATTTTAATATGAAGCAGTCTCACCCCTAAAGATTTTTTTTACTTAACTGTTTGAGTTAAAAGGTACATTGGTATAAGTTGTTCAACAAACTTAACTAACATTTATTATTTTATTGTTCATTATTCAATTCCAAAAATAAATTTTGGATTTTTGTCAAATTAGGTCAGGCATCATGTAATCTGATTTTATTTTATGTGAAAAGACACATTGAATTCAGTCCAGGTTCAAACAGATGGAATGAAAACATTTGGTGGGAGCTTCAAATCTTGATAGAACATTCTAACTTTAGACATTCTAAATACCAAAAACTGCTCATTAAAAATACTATGTATACTTTAAATAAAATCAATCTATAAATACTGACATAATTTATTTTCAAAAGAATCTCTATAGCTATTAGTATTTTATGATGTTTGTTTTTACTTTAAGAACTAAGTTATGTCAGTTTTACAAAATACCAAGCTTGTCGAAATTTTATTTGCCTTGACAATTTACAACTGTAATTGATAATTTCATTTCTAGTTTCAAATCCCATTTTCTCCTAAATCTTTGTTTCTTTCCCTGTAGGTTTCTCTCAGAATTCCAGGTAACATGAGCAGCTGCCCATAGCAAATACGTGGCTTTTTTTTCTATTCAAACAAAACATCTCCCAAATTTCATTTCCCTCCTGTGAGGAACAGACATTAGAACACAATTATATTAAAGTTTCTAGTGGGATTTCTGACTGTTTTATTATTAGGTATTCTCTAATTTCATTTAGCCTTTACACATTGATGTTTAAAAAAGGTTTGTAATCTAGGGTGGCAGGAGTAAGGTTTTGAAATGTCAGAAGAATTTTCATCAAAGTATTAAATAATAACTTACTTTGGATAATTAAATGCTGTCTTTTGTTTAAATCTCTTCAAAATGAAGTTTACTCTGAGTGACACTGACACCTTAAAAGCAAAAACTGTGGGGCCAGAGAGATAGTACAGAGGGGAGGGCACCTGTCTTGCATGTGACCATCCTGGGTTTAATTCCCGGCATTCCATATGGTCCCCTGAACATTGCCAGGAGTGATACTTGAGCGTAGGTCCCAGAGTAAGCCCTGTGCAGTGCCAGGTGTGTCTCCACACTGATCTTCTGAAGCAAGTTACCACAGTGCTTTGGTGATTTTGTGTGGTCACTGGGGTCTCTTTCATGGTCCTGACAATTTCGACTCAAACACTGTACCTTACAAAAAAAAAAAATTGGCTATGCCGACATAATCAGAAACCTCTGATTCTGAAAAGAGAGGAATTTGTTCCAAGGGAGCAGAATATATCACCCAAACAATTTTGGTAGCTGCCCCCGATTATATGATTCTTGCTGGGGGGATGTGAGACAAGAGCTTGATTTCCCCCATGAAAGATAGATTGGGAACACAAATATTAAATCCAAAGTATTTATATTGACATGTAGGATGGTTCTTAATTTAGAAAATTATGCTAGTCTTCCTCCTCGCTTCACATGACTCAGCAATGACTGTTGGTATAGAAAACACCAAGGAGAAATTAACTCTGACCCACCTTCAATCATTAGCATTTAAATATCTTGTTATTTAATCATGAATTTCTTACCTATAAATTGGAAATTGATAAGGATATATATAGTGAGCTTGTGCAAGAATAAGCTTAAGTTTTAAAAAGAACAAACTATTAAGCCAAATAAACTATAGAACTAAAAAAGAATTAAGTTGGAAAAAAAATCACCTGATATGAGTTCTTATCAGGTAACAGATACTGAATGACATTAATTAGTAATAGTAAGTATTTTCCTTGTTCAAAAAAGTGACTTGTTCAAAACAGAAAGAAGAGATGGAATGGAAACCAAACAGTATAATCCTAAGTACCATGGAAAATGGTTTTTCTGCATGTTATATTTCTAAATTTATAATCGTGGAAAGAGCCAGGTATTAAAGAGCCAGATTTCCACTTACAGGGTATGGTGATGACCTTGTTCATGACCTTCCCTTAGATTAATTCCTTACCATTTTTCTCCATAAAATATTACAATTAAAATATATCTTTAAGGGAGAAAAGGAAGAAAAAAGTATCATACAATTTCTAAGTTATAGGTATTATTTAAGAGAAAAACAGAATAGAACACAAGAATAATTGAGAAACATAACATATAATGCTTACTCTGAAAAAAGCACAGACCAACCAGAAACAAATCCTGGATCTCGGCTAAACCACAGCACGGCCATGATAATGAAGAGGACCAACGTCACAATTTCTTGATACCTGTGGGAAAATTTGAATGCTTTATTCATTTTCTCAGTCAGGACATTTGTAGCAACTCCCTGAGCAATAGTCAGCTATAATCTTAGCAGAACACTGAACACTGAGGGACTGAAAGATAGTACAGCTGTAAGGTGCTTGCAGGATTCAATCCCTGGCATCCTATATGGTTCCCTGAGCAACATCAGGAGTAATTACTGAGTGCAGAGACAGAAGTGACCCCTGAGCATTGCTGGGTGTGACATGAAAGCTAAAAAAAATAAAACAAACAAACAAAAACACTGAAAAACTATAAGCTGAATGTTTTTTATTTGAGAGAATCAACAGAATAATCAATGAACTTTGCTCCTCCCTGTGTCTTTCAGTTTCTTTCAATTTTAGCAGGTATATTTTTGTTGGATAGGGTATTTTATTGTACTGTTAATTTTTAAAATGTTATAATATTTGTTTACCTTACAAATGTTGTAAATACAGCAGTGTTTTCTGCTTATTTGATTTTTGACAAACTTATTCAGTATGAGCAGTGGTGTGTGTGTGTGTGTGTGTGTGTGTGTGTGTGTGTGTGTGTATGCGCGAGCGCACGTGCGAGTGCATATAACTCTTACCTCATTGGCCCAAGTTTCTGATATTCTTGTTTAATTACATCAGCACAAGCTTTTTGTTTCACAGTTTTAGTCTTGCCACATTTAAACATCTCTTTAATACTGTAAAGAAATGAGTCCTGATTAAGCAAAGGATTCACTCTTTATCAAAAGTATTCCCTGTGAAGTTTATGAAATATAAATATCCCTGTTAATGAGAGAAATGTGAGCTCTCCACGTCTACCTTCATCTACTTACTTGATGACCCTCTTCTCTCTTTTATTTTTTACCTTGTTCAATCAATTTTTGGTGCTTACTTTTTGTTTCCTATTTTTTCATAATGGGCTGGAGTGATAGCACAGCAGGTAGGGCATTTGCCTTGCATGCGGCTGACCCGGGTTTGATTCCTCCATCCCTCTTGGAGAGCCCAGCAAGCTACTGACAGTATCCCGCCCGCACAGCAGAGCCTACAGGCTCCCTGTGGCTTATTAGATATACCAAAAACAGTAACAACAAGTCTCACATGGACATGTTACTGGTGCCCGCTCGAGCAAATCAATGAACAATGGGAAAACAGTGCTACAGTACTATTTTTCATAACATTATCTTTTTGAAATTCATTAATATCATTGAAATTTTGCCATGTACCACTCACTTTTAGTTTGAAAATTTATTGTGTACCTAATTGTCATATGTTTTAATATACTTATTATATGTCATTAATTGATGCTCATGTATACATTTATCTCACTTGTGATATACTATTCTATGTATGGGTGGGAAAGTTCTAGATATTATCTTAAGCATGCTATGTATATATATTGACATACATGAACATTGAAATATATGACTCATTATATTTTAGTAATTTTGTGAAATGCAAGAGATGGTTGTGACATCCATAAATTGCTAAAATATACTAAACTTGTGTTATATATTAGAGTAAGGAAGTTACATACAGTTTATCATGGACTTGGGAGAAAGTATAGTCTCTATTATAATTTTCTTTATTTTTCTTCACAACTATATTCTAAGAGCATCATTTAGATTGATGTTTCTCAAGTGGAAGCCATATGGCTTCTTATGGGCCATTCCCTCATCCCTAGGATATTCCAAAGGAACACAGGGAAATGTAGCACAATTGGGGGACCAAAACTGAGGCTAGACCACCACAATAATATGGGGAGGATGCACTGGAAAGAGACAAGGCCTAGAGTGGACCATGATCAGAAAGGAAAGGTTGAAAAATATTGTATTAGATAACCTTCCACCACATTTTCATTTGTAACTCTCTTTTCCTCTCTCTTTCTCTGTCTCTGTCTGTCTTTGCCTCTCTTGCCTCTCTCTTTTTCTCTCTCTCTTCCCTCTCTCTCTTTTTCCCTTTCTCTTCTCTCTCAATAACAGATAGACCTAGCAATGCTAAAGGCCTGAGATCATTCCCACTGATGGGTCTGCGGTGCTCAGGTCAGTGACGTTCATGACCCACAAGGACCATAATATGAAGTAGTTATTGTTATCTTTACACAAAGATATATTCTTTTTTGGTGTGTGGGAACACACCTGGCTTGTTCAGGGGTTACTACTGGCTCTGTACTCAGAAATAATTCCTGGAATACTTGGGGGACCATGTGGGATGCCAGGGATTGAACCAGAGTCACCTGCTTGCAAGACAAGTACCCTACTCACTGTACTATCACTTCTACTCCATACCCAATGATATATTCTGGTTTTTTTTTCCTGCAAGTTTGCAACCCAAACTTGTTCTCATTTTATTCCATTGAAGAAGCAGCACCTCCTCAATTCGGAAGTCATCCATTCTGCACATTTATAATCACATTTCAGCAGACATTTTAACCAATGAGCATAATTAGTTGGATGTTGCTGCACTTAAGATCAATGAGGTGATATTTAACTTACAGAGCCTCAATTCAATTACTGACTGGTACCGGTCTTGATATGTTATCTCTTGTCAGAAAATAAATACTACTAAAACAAGAAACCAATCCACGGACCACCCTGATAAGTACCTGAATAGAAATGTAAAATTAGACACAGAGGTGGTTTTTCTTAAAATAAATAAACAAATAAATAAAACACTGTTTTCCATCCAGTGTATAACTGTATGTTATCACTGCAGTTCAGGATAATAAATAGTTAAAGTCAAAAGCCAAATTGGTTTTGCTACAAATGAAGGTTAATGCCTTCACAAAGGAACTGATGAAGCATATGACAATGTATCAACCTCCCCATTTAAATGAGTTCAGTGGCAATGATAGATGAGCTTCTCTCCTCAAGAATCCTGGGGTCATTTATAATAGGTGAGTTAACTATGTTAACAGTCAACACACTAATCAGAATGTATGGTAGTCTGCTAGGAGAGTGGCTGATTGTTCCTGTTTGTCAATGTAAAACCTCTGGAGGTGAACACCCTAGTCGACTGAAAGGGACTCTGAGAAATTAGAGGAAGCAAGAAGCTATGTGGTATCTCACCATTAGTGGACAACAAGGGCAATGTTTAAACATGACACTGATCGTGATTAATGGACTCTGTCTAATGTATGCACCTCCACAGGCTTGTTTTCGTCAGAGAGTGAACATTCCAGTGCAACTGCCTTTTACTTTCTTTACTTCTCCTTCTAACCTGGTTGTGAGACATTTCCAGATTATGACAATGGTCGCATATTTTATAAGGTCATTTTATGTCACAACAAAGAATGAAATAGCGGTGGGTTTGTGAGTGGACGTTTTGTTCATCATTTGGGATTCTTGTCCCTGAATCCTGTATCGCTACCTGTAAGGTTTGAATAGACCCCCATAGGCTTGGATTTCCAGGAAGGGACACTTAGTATGCAGCTGGTCTCTCCCTGCTGATGCCCACCTGCTGAAGTCAGTGACATTACACACATTTGCTTCAGCAGGAGCCCTGCCACATGCTGATTCCACAATCTGGACAGATAGATTTTTTTTTAAAAAAATCATCATTACTATCTCTTCACTACTAAGAAAATCGTGGCAGTTCTGGAGAAAAACCAGGAAGAGGAATGCAATGATAACAGTATTATTCCTTAGGTGACTAAGCTTGGAAAAAATGTGGGCATAGGCATGGAACAGCACTTGATTGCAGTGTTTTGCTTTTCAGAAGTGCAAATTGCTTACTTTGTTCTCACTTACTTGGTGGATAACATGCTATTTCACTCACTAGGTCATGGAAATTATTTGAAAATAATCCTATAAAGTAAATTAAAAATGTTTTGTGGGGGAACAAAAAAATCCACCCAGAATTGAAAATACAGTCTTTTCTTCCCTTTTTAGAATGCTATTATATATGTTGAATATATAACCTGCACTTTAGATTTTTTTCCTGAGGAGCCCTTCATAATTTTAAATGCTGCCATGTAAGTCACTTGTCATGTTGCTTACCATGATACTTATGAGCCATTAACTTCAGTAGCAGTAATATTTTCAAATTATCCTGGATACATATTTTTGATCTTTCGGTGCCATTTACTGGTCAGCATTTTTTCCTCTTACATTGAATGAGCTTACCTTCTGTGAGCTCAATATGTGCTAAAATTACAGTATTATATATGCTTTGACTGATCTTTGAGTTAAAGTATATCATTTTACTGATGAAGACTCTGAATTTGAGAAGTAATCAGTAAATCTAAAGTCTGGCTTGGGAAACCAGATATTTTCCTCAGGTCTAGTGAGCAATCATCCAACATCATTTCTAAAGAATACAGAAACCTTAATTCTATTTTTTCCAGTACATGTAAATATTGGTATTAATCTGAATCTGGAAAACCTGCATGGCGTACTCTTAAGTCGCTCAAGGACTTGAGGGAATCTCCGTAGTAAACCAAGGGGGGGAAGGGGAAACTCCTAAAATTTACTTCATTAACCTCTATTGGATCCTCATTATTATCAGCTCCTTATGCCAGTCTGACCTACAATTGCCTTATTATCTTAGAGTTTTAAATAGACTGGGATTATCTTTTTTTCTATTTTCATAATCAATGCCAGTTTTGTAGAGAAAGAAATGTGGAAATTCATCAAAAGTACTGGCTAATGAATTGAGAATTTGGAACTTTAAAATATTTATTAGTTTAACATGGAGTATTTACTTACTTGAAACCTAGGAAAAGCCACTGAAGCCAAATCCAGGATAGGATTAGAATAATTATAGCAGCTGGAAAGGAAAGCACGAACCATGATCCAAAGTTGATGCATTGGCAGTCAGGGTAGCGTCTGAAAGACAATATGGAAAAGTTTACAGGAGTTGTACAAATGGAATTCTCACTGATGAGTGTTGGGAAGCAGCCATTCATATATCCCATGCCACCATCCAAGCAGGCATATATGAGCGTATTTACCACCAATCAGGAGACAAATATGGGATGATATACAGTTTATTGAATATACTGTTAGACACTGTGTCTCTTGTTTTGATTCTATAAGCTCATAATTATTACTGCTTCCAACAGAAGCAAGGAAATGTGAATATGTTATAATTTTTATTTTCTCAATTCAACCTATAAGAAAGTATTTATGCAAAAACCCAGCTCAATAGCTGACATACATGAAACACACAAAAAATAGGTATAGATGGGTCTGTGTGGTTTTGGTTTTGGTTTTGGGGTCATGTCTGGCTATGTTCAGGTCTTACTTCTGGTTTCATACTCGTGGTACCTGGGTTGACTGAGTGTGAGGCAAGCACCCTATCTTCTGTATTACCTCTCCCACCTGGATCTGTGTTTGTAATTAATATTTAAATTATAAATATATGAGAAAAGAAAGACTAAGAAAAAGTAGATAAAGTTTATCTCAATGGACCATGATCATTTGTCATTGGTAGCTTACAATGACCTTATGCATTGGGCATTAGGCATTGTGATTTGCCTCAAGTTTTCTATCCTAGCTCTTCTACTCCAGAGCAATGGCATCCATCTTACCAGACACATGCCAGCCATTTCTTTTTAGAATTAGACAGTTCTTAGACAAATTTTAAAAATTCTGGACCAGAGGGAAATAATTTAAAATTCTGAATGGGAAAAATACACATTTACTTAAGTTGATATTTGTCATGGTCACACGGTCACGGTCCTCCCGTTGTTCATTGATTTGCTCAAGCGGGCCCAGTAACGGCTCCATCGTGAGACTTGTTGTTACTATGTTTGGCATATTGAATACATCATGGGTAGCTAGCCAGGCTTTGCCATACAGGCGAGATACTTTCGGTAGCTTGCCGGGCTCTCTGAGAGGGGCGGAGGAATCGAACTCGGGTTGACCATGTTGGCTGCATGCAAGGCAAACACCCTACTCTGTGCTATCACTCCAGCCCAAGTTGATATTTGTCACTTATATAAAATAAAACACCAACTTAATTTTTCCCAGCTGTTTTTACTTTTTGATCCACATAATCACAGAATAGCAACTAAAAACAATTTTTGACAATCTATGTCAAAATGCAGTATACATTTTGGATAAATACTCATATAGTTACATATTTTGTGACTGTGTATAGAAAACTAGAAATTTCATAAATAAATATTTTACTATTTCTCTTTTCTTGGCATAGTAACATGCCAAAAGAGTTGGGGATCTGAAAAGTAGAGGAAACATACAAAAAGTGATGACAACACTATTAATATATTTAATAATTACAGAGGTGTTTACAGAAATTATAAGTTCTACTTAAATAATATCATATATTTTTATATCTAAAATATTTTGTGCTATATAAATCAACCTAAGCAAAATGTATATTTTGTGTAATGCTCTTTCTTTTTTAGAACTATTTCTAGGTAACATAAATACTTAAAAAGGCAAAGCAATGCTCATTAAGATTTTAGATTGCTAATGTTTTCAACAATTTCAATCAATTGACAAATGATCATGGTCCATTGAGATAACTTTTATCTATTTTGAGTTTATAAAGAGTTATTAATTTCCTTGGGTCCTAGAATTCTGATTGGGACTTGAAGATTTGGGACCCAAAACCAAAAAGAAAAACACAGTTAAACTCTGTTACTTCATTTTTTATTTGAATAATAGAGAAATATAGAAACAATTGCACGGGTCTATGACCTACATGATCATAAGCTTTACATTTATGTTTTGGGTGAACGTTTTTAATGATAATAAAATAAAAGAGGTTACCTTTGCACTGGTATTTCATTTATATTTGCTTATACCCTACAAAATGAAATGACGAATATCTATTTAAACATGTATTTCTCCCATTATTAAATATGTTAAATACATCTAAGTCTGATTTTTAAAAAATTTCTTTCTTCCATATTAAACAGATTTCTGGGTTATGTGAAACCGTGTACCAGGTACTTTCCTAATCAATGGGAATATAGTGGTGAATGGGCTGGAGCAATAGCACAGCGGGTAGGGCGTTTGCCTTGCACGCAGCCAACATGGCCGACCTGAGTTCAATTCCTCCGCCCCTCTCAGAGAGCCCAGCAAGCTACTGAGAGTATCTCGCCCGCTCGGCAGAGACTGGCAAGCTATCCGTGACCTATTCAATGTGCCAAACACAGTAACAACAAATCTCATGATGGAGACGTTACTGGGCCCACTTGAGCAAATCAATGAACAACGGGAGGACCGTGACCGTGAATAGTGGTGAATTACATGAACATAGTCCATGCTCTCATAAAGTTTACATTTATGTAAGGAATATATCAATTAATAGGCATATAACAAATCACAGGATAAAACAGAATAATGTAACAAAAGTTATTGGGGGGAGGGAAGAGAGATAGTATATCAAGTAAAGTGTTTACTTTGCATCTAGCCAAGCTGGGTTTGATCCTCTGCACTACACATGATACTCTGAGCCCCACCAGGAGTGATTCCTAAGCAGAGATCCTGGTGAAAGCCCTAAGAACAGGTGACCCAAAAAAAACCCCACAAAAATTATTGGTAGTATAGAGTAGTAGTAGAGTAGTAGTATATTACATAATTTCATTAATAAAAATTATATTTGAGTTGAGCTTTAAATGCTAAAGAGGAGTCAGTCTTGCAAACACCTAGGAAATAGTGTTTCATACAATGGAGGTTACAAGTACAAAGGCTTTGAAATAGGTATGAGTTATAAATGTGTGAGAATTAGAAAGGATGCCAGTGTGGTTTGATGTAGTAAACTAAATATACAGGAACATCAAATCAACCCAAGAAGCAACCAACAGAAATCAAAGAAGATATAATCTAACAGATCATCAAAAGGTGTTTAGATTGTAGTAGAAGTAATCAAAGCATGGGAAGCAAAATAATCTAATTTAAAATTTAGGTAGATCTGTGATTTACATTGACTAGGTTAGTAAGGTAGTTTCTAACATTTGAAGGCAACATGAGTGGAAAGAATCCAAACAATGTTAATCAGAGTTCTAAGATGATTCAGAAGTTTCTGCCCCTGGTATTTATTTATGCCTTATATGATTCTCTCACCTCCCTTTTTTTTAACAAAGAGATATTATGACTATGATACTTAAGCCCTGGGATTAGGTTCGTTGATGAGGATTTTTTCAGAGAAAATCAAGTCCCCATTATTTGATTTTGAGTTAAATTAAAAGAGAGATTATGGTGGATGGGGTCTAACTTAATCAGAGCACATTTCCTACTGGTATAAAAAAATAAGATTCCATATTATCACAGCAAGAGCCATGTAACAAAAATCTAGCTGAGAGTGACTATGCGCAAATAATACACAATACAATGAACACCTCAATCATTGAACAATAGGCAACTAACTTTTGTCAACAATCTGACAGAGGTCCCTCAAAGAGATTGCAAGTTCCAACTGACATCTTGAATTCAGTCTGGGGAGATCCTGAGCAAGAGACTGAACTAACTTATACCTAGGCTCCTGACCTAGCACAAAAATTTTTCAATAATGGAATAGTGCAGCTTTACTCTAATAAATTGATTACAGTTTTTTTAAAAAGGAAAGGAAAGGTCACACAGGGAAATCTGTTTGGAGATAAGGTTTTGTGGAGGATTATTGCTGCATAGCACAATGGTAGGGCATTTACCTTGCGCACAGCCAGCCTGGCCGAGCCAGGTTCGATTCCTCCGCCCCTCTTGGAAAGCCTGGCAAGCTACCGAGTGTATTCAATATGCAAAACACAGTAACAAGAAGTCTCACAATGGAGACGTTATTGGGCCCGCTCGAGCAAAATTGCTGCATAGAGAAGGGAGTAAGATAAATTTCATCTTAAGTGAAAATTTTATTTTAAATAAGATTGGTAGTAGTGAAGAAATAGGAGATGCAATAAATTTTAAATAGATTTGGGATAAAATTTGGGAAGTGGGGCAAATGTGCCATTTCTTGAGATGAAGTCAGAGGGAAAAACATGTTGGCAGAAGTGGTAGGTTAATAATGTTGTTGTGAATTTGTTAGTTAGAGATGCCCACTGTTTTTCAACTGGCCAAGTTGAATAAGCAGTTAAATAAATGTGTCTGAAACTGAAAGAAGAGAAAGAAACCCAGAAGTATAAAAATTAGTAGTTGCTAACTCATGGGTGGTATTAAAAAGCATGAAATTTGGTGTGATAATTTTGGAAGTAAACAGAAACTGAAGGACCTGAGAATATACATGCCCTAAATCCTTCTAAGTGTTTAGAGGTCAGACAGAGGGGTAGGGAGAGAAGATGAGCAAAGCATGATTAATTCTAATGAACATTCAGAACAGAATAAATTATATTTTCATATTAAATAGGAAGACAATGTCTCAAAAGGTTACATAAATTACCCAAGGTCAAATATAATATAATCAAGCTGGATTTTCAACCGAAGAGTGTTGAAAGCATAACCCCTTTTCATTAAAGATCACTATCCTCAATTTCAGTTGACAAACTAGACAATTCCATATGTATTGTCAAATATAAATAAGCCAACAAAAACAAGTTCAGAACTATATGCATAGTTATTTACATACATTTCTTTATAATGGAAACCATAAAGAAATACCTTGACCTAAACAATACATGCATGGCAGTGTTGACACTTAGAAAGATAGTGTTGTTATTGTACAAAATGAAGTACCAATTAAGTAAAGTAAGTAATTACATACATAGAAATGGTCTTATAATAAAGAAGGTCATTGAGGAAATTTATAGACTTGTAACAAATTTTGACCATTAAGAACACTATAAGCTAGTGCCCACAGAGATTACAGTCCTTTTGGTACGTACGGTGATTAATTTTGAGTCAAATCTATTGTTTCAGTCTTGAATTTG